TACAATTCTATTGAAGATTTTATTAATTTACAAACATCCTAAAACTGCACCTAGTAATTAAATTGTATGAGTCTAGCGAGATCAGTAATACTTTTCAGAGAGGATTAAGAAATATTTCCCAGATTTTTTAAGAAATTCCCTGAGATTCTCTAATTTTCCAGGACTAAAAAGGATTTCCTTTAAATTCCCAGATTTTCCAGATTTTTACCCTTCTTACAAAGAAGGGTATAGATATCACTTGAAAAACCGACTATCGATCCGAGGCCCGGAGGGCCGAGTGTCATATACCATTCGACTCAGCTCGACGAGATTGGAACATGTCTGTGTGTGTGTGTGTGTATGTGTACGTGTGTGTGTGTGTATGTGTACGTGTGTATGTGTGTATGTGTGTGTGTATGTAACGAGTTGGAGGCGAACCAGCCCAAGGCTGAAAGCCTCCTTAATAAAGCTAAATAATAATAATAATGTATGTAACGAAATGAATGCGCTCACGTTTCTCAGCAACCGCTCAACCGATTTGGACAAACTCGGCGCCAAATGATAGGTCTTGGGGTCCCATTGAACGCTATTGAACGGTTTTGGAATCGGTGAACCGGTTCCGGAGATATGGCCGGAATAAGATCCGGTGAATATGGGCCTTCACGCTGGATTTAACGGAAAACGTATCAAAACCATCATGCGACGCATCAAATTACTACAGAATTCAAAAATAAGATCAATGCAAGTCGTGTCAAGTGTTCCAGACCACATTGGACACACTTGGACATGTTCCGGGTACCCCGGGGAAGTTGTTTGAATATGAATTGAATTAAAACCCATTAAATCACATTAAAATATAAGAGATGAACTAAAAATCTCTATAAGGAAAAAAAAAAAAAAACATTAAAATACGATGATAAGGTGATTGGTAGCCTCACCAAATAGACTACACCCGGATATATTCCGGGTGCCCCCAGGCAGTGGCGTAGCGTCACTGGATGACACCGGGGTGGGGGGCTTGGTCATTGATAATGACAATAAAATAAATAAACTTGAATAAGTAAGAAGGGTCTGATCACACCATAGGTGGATAAATTCGGGTTTTTTCAGGTAGTCTACACCCTGTATCTGTATAGTTTTGAGCTTGAATGATTGATTCTGTCAGAAGTTTGAAGAATTTTAGTAAACCGATTTATTTTAAAGCACTTATTTTCAAACTGCTTTATTTTTAAGAACCAGGAACCAAATTGGCAGAGATTTTGCTCATTTATTATAAAAACATAAATCTTTGATTTGGCTTCTATGTAACTAAAATACGTTCAATACAGCAGCTAATTTATTTTTTTCTGATAAAAATGACCGTTTGCTGACACAAATATTGCTTTCAAATGGTCATTTTTTGTTGTGACTTAGAAAAATATGAAGTGTTGACAAATACCAGAAGTTACCAACAGGTAAAACAAAATTGTAAAGATATTGTAAGTGAACAGAAAAAAAAGAAATAGTTGTTGGTGGCTATATAGTTACCACTGCCTTATAAAGGTTTAAATGCTTTTATAAATTTTATTGAAAATTTACTCAATTTCCGCAAGTGTTTCATGATTAGAAATTCAAACCGGTTTACCTAACAAAATGAAAACAAACGAACTTTGAATTTTAAAATCTGATAAATTTTTCAGAAGATTTTAAATCAACACTAGCCTAGCATTTCAAATCACTGCAGTTTATTGAGCGCTATTAAATGTTGATGCTGCTGTATACATGCATTTATACAGATGTCTGAATATATTATGAAAATATGAAAAGTTTTTGCAAACCAATTTTGAAGTATAAAAAAATAAGCATTATGCACCAAAGTAGACCGCTGCTCAGGCCAGTAAAAAAATAATAATCGTTTAGAATGTAATAAAGCGCTACATTTTACAATAGAATATCATATGTAACTTAGAAAAATATCAATCTTTATTCTTTTCTGACCGGACCGAAAACAACTCCGGATCACCCGTAGCGCATGAATCTAAGGGCTTGGTATGTCGTATTTGTTTTGTAGCCAGCATTCAAAGTATAACATGGCTGGTTTCAATGGTAACACATGCGCATGCATACGTTGTCAGGCTGGGCCCACAGTATGAGTCCTCGCTTATGTTGACTACTACCAGTTGTTGCTTGTAGAAATAGGGATGTCAGTCCCGTGCATGAATCCAATTTTAGGATCAGAAAGTAATGCGACTTTCACTTACTTTAAACTGTTATTGGATGCTCAAATACTTTGATGCTAAAAATAACTGAACGAGTGTTGATTCTACCAAACAGACAACTGCTAATAGACTCAGCAGCAGTAGAACGAAACAGGCGAGAAACTGAAAGAATATGAAAACCATTCTAACCTACTGAACAATAAGATCTAAAATCAGTGAGTGAATTGGTTTTGGCTCAGATTCTACCCATTTGGATAGTTTTTAACTACTAAAACATAGTAATTATCTCTATCTCAATAACAGTATCACAACTATGTGTAAAGCCGGGATTGATTTGCTTATCTAGCTACCTGTAAATATACTTGAAAACGACTCAAGAATTAGCCACGGCACATTCACTAGTCAATTTTTACTTGATTCTGTGATCAACGAAGCACGTCGCCATCTGGATTGTTTCGAAAATAAATTTTGAAAAGAACGATAAATACTGAATACAATTTACCTTACTTGAGGTTAATTCTGTTCAACTTACAGCACATTTTTAGTTGCCGTATAAGTTTTTCTTGGATTAGTTGTCAATATTTTTAGTTTTTAAACAAGTTGCCAATATCACTTATGTATGTGTAGTTTAGAAACTGTTGAAATCATTGAAACAAGATTATTCTCCTGATGGGTTATTAAAATTCCAGATTTTTCCTAGATTTTCCGGGTGAAAATAAAATCCCGAATTACGACATTACACCATTGGTTACCACACAGCAAAAAAATAATTTTGATATCACGTCAAAGTGGATGCACTATAATCATGTCGAAAATATGGTGTAATATTACTTGCTAAAAAGGACAAAATTATCATTAATACAATGCATGAACTGACATTATGCTGCTTTTACTGCATTTGTTTATTTATGTGGTCATAAAAATTACATGAAATTTTCGACATGATTGTAGTGCATCCACTTTGATGTGATATCAAAATTATTTTTTTGCTGTGCAGGTGAATCTTTGTCATTGACGAAAACATAAATGAGATAATGTCAATATCGCCTGAAGCCTTTCAATGACCATGACAAATCTCAGCACTGATCCCAGCTCTTAAGCCGGGCTTGGGCAATAGAGTGCTATTCATTTACTCAGTCAATAACCGTTAAATCACGCCTGGTTCAATACAAGCTTTAGTGACGTTCATTTTTGCAGAATATCAATTGATAATGTGCTGGGACTCGGATTATCCGGATATTTTGATTTTTCAATTTTATTAAATTTTGGCAATTAACAAATTTGCCATTCCACTTCAGGCCACATGGGAAACTAAAAACCAACTTTTTGACAAATATTTGCAACAGCAAAAAAAAAACTGGTACAGGGAGAACAAATTTGAAATTTCACTATCCGGATATCCGGATAGTTACTGTCCGCCTGATAAGCATCTCAATTTTTTTTTTTTTTTTTTTTTTTTTTTATTATAGTCACTTTAACGCTCTTGGGTCATTCGTGACTTGTCCGGGGGTGAGATTTGAACTCGTGACTTTGGCGTGAGAGGTATAGCATCTCAATGTTTTCTATATTGATTTTATTTCAATATTGGGTACTAGAAAGCATGATACTCTGTATACTGAATACCAATTCATTGATATTCCATTTGTCATTTTATTGAAGAAAAAAAACTGAAGTATCCGGATAGTTGAAGTCCAAGCTCTAATTATCAATAAAAAAAAACAACAACTAATGGTAACCCTAGCCTCTAGCTCGGCTATTGATGCCACCCTGGAGGCTCATATGTACATATCCTTTTCCCATCTACGGACCATACACAGAACAAAACAAAAAGCACAACGCGAGGCGACAGAATATAATGTGTACAGTAAAAAGCAAAACAGTGCAATAAAACTTTGTTATGACACAAAATCGTCGTCTCATCGCTGTCGTCTGCCTCTTCGCGCCACCCACCCTTCCGAGGAATCAGGTGGGGGAACTATGTTGGCCAAATCCACCAACAACCAGAACTTTTCCATCAAGCGACACAAAAGCACCGAAGTTCGTTAGCACACCAAAAGGAAAAAGAAAAAAATCTGCGAATATTTATTTGTTTTCTTCCAGTAAACAAACGCATCACTAAAGTCGATTGTTGGGAGTTGGAACGTGCGGGAAAGCCGCTTTTCCAAAGCATTTTCCGCCCAGCAGTGCTATGTACAGTGTATCTCGAAATTGAGCGTACACCTGAATGGACAATTTTTTTGTACACACTGAATAGATTGTCACTTTGTGGATTTTAATTGTCATGGATTTTAGTAAAATTATTATGACTACAAATGTGCAAAATGTTAAAACGATTTGTTCATTGTATTTTAAAAAAAAAGGTTTTTTGAGAAAAATACTATACCAATAACCGATAAATGTTTGATGATCCAGCAGCCAGAAATTCAGAAATCAAACTTTTCAAATTGTCCTCGTACACCTGATTAGCTGTACGCTCAATTTTGAGATACACTGTTCACCTAACGACGATTTTTCTGCGTTCCAAAGCATACTAATGTGTGCATGGAAAACATACTAAGCGGTGATGGAGGGTGGGCTAGTTGACAGTTTAGATTATTTCACTATGCTCCAGTGAGTGCCACCCCTTTCCTACTGGATTATCGGATTTTAGATTCGCATGATGGATTAAAACAAAATTTTCTAGATGCCACCAGTGACGCTGGTAATTAAATCGTCAAATTCAACACAAATACAAATTTGCGCCACTAGTTTCAACGTTTTTACATATATATATTCCCACAACATAGATTATTGATTTTGTTTCCCTTTCCACTTCCATTGCAGATGCGCGTGTTCAACCAGGAATATAAGCCTATGCCGGAGCTTAATGAAGCCCTATCCTACCGGGAGGAGTATGCCAAGCAAGCCTCGTCAGATTAGATTACCCAACCTTTGTCCCCGGCCATAGCCAATAGATCTTGCAGAGCATGTGTCACACATTGCTATCATAGTAATACCACCGTACAACTTCAATTAATAAGCATTGAGCATATCCGTTTTATAACAGCACACCTCGACACCGCCAGCACGGTCCAGAACTACTTGAAACTGCACCGAGAGAGTTATCGTTACTTAAGACCATCACTTGTCGTTGTTGCAAGACAACAGCAGCAATATTAGTAGCAATGTTTTAAGCCAATAAATTATTCCCCCGCGTTACTAGATGGTAGAGTTGTAGAGCACAATATAAAAGTAGTCAGTCTGTGTGTCTCACTCTCGATTCGTGATCCAAGCGAATCGTGACCTGGTGAGATTAGAGAAGCTTTCAAGTCTTACTCGTCGTCGTCGACGACGACGACGACGACGTTGCGTTCTTTTAGCGTGGATGACATAGCCTTTTCGTTGCCGTTGGATAATGTTGGTTCATGTTTTAATCCAATTTCTTGCGTTCAATATTGAAATTTATGATGTAACGTTCCAACGTTACATAAAACGCAGCCCGTCGGAAGAGGTTAATTGATTCTCGTGCTTTCGCTACGGGAATTGACATTTCTCAAACAAGAGTCTTTCGACTAATTGGATGATTGGATCGGTATAGTTCTATAACCTTGGTAATCGCATTTGGTTCCCGTCCGGTTTACTCGGTTTCGATTGTGGCCTTTGTAATGGATTACGTTTTCCGCACATGAGATCGATAGCATGAAAGTCACGTGGCTGTATTAACATTAATCTCAATTAAACTAAACTAAACTAAACTAAACTAGCCTGTTAAAAGATATAACTAGGCAGCTTGAAATGAATACCGAAGCCATGATCAGTAATAGGATCGCATTGGTTTCAAATTTTCAGAGAACGGATATTATTTAAACTGGCCAATTTTATATCTATGTTATGTACTGGAAGTTTAAAAAAAAAGCAATTGTAAATGTGGAATCAGAGATGATGAATATTAGCCAAAATGGTTGAGTTATATGAACTAGATCTTGAACAGTTATCATTACCTGCGGAAGTTAACTCATCAGCGAGAACGCCTCGCCAATGCCATAAATTCATTCTTAAACATTTCTCGTTTAGTTAATAAAAAAATACGGTCAAATAACGAAAAAGTTTAATGAAATGTTTGTTTGGATAATGCAACATAACAGCTTTCTGATGGCTATGGAATAAGTTTGTATGGATCAATCTAAAATGTTCATTAGTCTAAATCAGTGGCGGTCCCATAACCTCACTTTTTACCTGTGCACCAACTTAGTAATTGTTAGATGAATTTGAAAGGATTTCTGTGGAGAAGAATGCAAGTTCTAAATTAAATTGTTAGGTAATTTTAGAAGATTTAAAAAGGAGTTGTCAAAAACAAAACATAGCGGAAAATTCTTACGTGATTCTTAGGTGATTTGTATGGGTATCGTGAAGAAAATTAGAGATAAATTTTAAGAAGAATTCCAAGAGAATTATGATCAGAATTCAACAAGAAACAGAGTTCTTAGATTGTGCTGGCAATAATTTCAACCCTAGTGCGAAAGATTCATCACAGAACTCAAACAAAATTTATTGCAAAATATTTGCTGAGAATTAGAAAGAAATTATTTAAAACACTCCAAGGGATTTCTAAATAAAATTTCGAAAGATTTCTGCTGTTTTGAATATAGTTAAAAGAAATTTTTGAAAATATTTTCAAAGGATTCAAAGTCTCCGGATAGGCTTAAGGGAATTCTAAGAAGCATTCCAATTAAATTCTTAGAAGGGGTTGCAAGGAAATTCCAAAAAGAATTCAACGGCAATTATTACGCATTATGAAATCATGAATTTCCATGACGAAATCATGAATCATTGTTACGATTTCATGGGATGGCAAGTTTTTTCATTCCATGATTTTTTATTCATGAAAATGGAATCGGATTTGTTTCCGTGTATGCTGTTATACACACTTAGAAAAAATCATGTAAATGACTAATTGTAACTAATTTTACGGGAGATGAACCAGCCTGCAGCTGAAAATCTCGATAATTCTCGTCTGTTATGACTTAATTTTATGTCAAAATTGACATAAATTTGTATCATAACAGACGCTAAATCTAGCTTAATCATACGTACTTTTCGTCGAGCAACGAACTTTTCAGCCTCGGACATGTTTGTTTACGTCTCATTTTTTATGTCAAATATGGATTCCATCACGTGTAAAATTAGTTATTTTTAAATGTGTATGCTAAGCCCCATCGTCGATGTCATCAAAAGCAGAAATTAGTGAACATAAGGGGGGTAATTCCACAGAGGGATCAACCACAACATAAAAGAGCGGCTACGAGTTCGAATCCGGCAGGACATTGTTTCTTGATTGGAAAACGTCGTCAAAGCAAGTTCTTTTTTATTGACCCAATGCTGAGAGACTACGGGTGCTCAAGATTATTAAGGGAACAACTTATTTTAACCGAGTTTACTTAGTTAAAATAACTCAGGTTCTTCTGCTTATAGTTCGTTGGGTTTCCATCGATAAAAAAACACCTTAGGATCCATTAGGACATCGATTTGTGTCATTTTAGTGAAAATCTGCCTGCGGATATTTTTCTAATCAATACGGCAAAGATGCTATTAAATTGCTTCAATTACGTTATTCCATTGAAATACAAACAATCCAAAGCCTACGTTCAATAATAATAGCTCAAATACGTTAAATTGCGAACTAGATTAGACCAGTACCTTATTTGCTTATCCATTCCAGGTATTCCACTAAGACGCCCACATTCATCAGGATAGATTAGACCAGTAGATTTCGTCATCAGTAGCTCACCCAGTTTGAATAAAAATTAATTACGACGAGATTCTTCGGAATTGGTTGTTTGTATTGCCATACTCGAATAGCTAACAGCGATTCTAGGAAACCGGAAGCGTTCCGAATTTACGACGAACTTGTAGGAGTGATGGCTAGATGGGTTTAATTTCATCGCCGTCCAGGTGTAAATTTTTAATCCAGTAGCTAAATTGAATTGAACATTCGTTCCTAACATTTTAAAGATTTTGGTTGAAGAAACAGGTCAAACGTTCGTCAGACTTAAAGTTTAAACCAAAACAATCACCTCTTCCCCCATGAAATAACACGTAGCAAATCAAACCTATATGGAACATCGTTCAGGTTCGAAGTTGATTACAGTACATCATCGAAGAGAACTCATTTTCCCATGCCACTGCAGGGGGCACTTGATTAGCAGCAGCCAGTTAGAGAAAACCTCTGATATTGGCTGCTGGTTGCTGCGGTCTCCGTCTGAACACTCAACTCGGGCTACTTACCTAAAAGTAGTTCCATGCAATCTATATCGGCACCAAGAAAAGAGAAGAAAACAAGAGAGGACAAAGTTTTATAATTGTGTCTTCTTGTACGGGTGAGTCGGTTGATATTATTTTGGTCAGGTGTAGTGTGAGAGTAGAGATACTATATACAATATACATATTGGTTAGTACGTTTGGCTTGAATGCTAGACAGACAGGTATGTAGGGGGCAGCTGCTGGTAGGTCCTGAGAAGGTAAGTTGTCACTTGTCTATCAATTAAAACTCTATATAACCAACGACAATCAGGACCGAGCGCTAAAACTTTCCAGATGAACGTTGCCAGCGCTGAACATGTATGTACACTGTCTCCATCACTGACAACACAGATGGGTGATTTCTATTTTATGCTTTCTAGAGCGCCGGTGAGAACGGTATCCTAGGGGGCGAAAACTCGAAGGAATGAAAATAAAAGCATACCCCATGTTGGCAAATATCGGACAAGATATACGACTGTTAATTAAGCGTTAATTACACTGCTCTAGCTGGTGCAGAACAGTGTTCCATTCGCTTCGGAATTGAACGGGCTAGAGTAGAAGTAATAAAAAAATCGCACATTTTTAACCCCCAACCATCAAATCAAAATTTGCATTTTTTTTTTAATCTCAAAAATATAGTTCCTATCATTAAACCACTACTAGGTGCTATCTTCTGAAATGTTAAAACTATTGAAAGTCATGAATTGGGATGATAGTGGAATACTGACAAGAGCAAAAAAAGGTGATTATTTAAAAAGAGACGGAACTAGAAAGAGTGAGCGAATCATTACGATTAGTGCTAGGGAATAAAAAACAATCATGCATCACATGTTCAGGTCAGATTACAAAGCAGTACATACATATGAAGCACTAATGAAAATAACGGAAAAGAAGCTTTAAGAACTGATTAAGAAATAAGTAGACAGTTTTCAAGGTCTAGGTTCTCAGCACCAACACTGATCAGAAAAGGCTACCTACAATCCTCACCAAATCCACCAAGAAGGATGCTCCGAAAAGTAAATGAGGATTCGTAAAAAGATATCCCCTCCCGTAATGCTCATCGAACCCCTTTTTACGAGTGTAATTTCACAAAGATTCTCGTTCTCCGAATCCCAAACCGACTTTTATCAGCCGTCTCTCCTTCTCTACATCCTTCGCTGACAGCACTGCTGCAGCAGTGGAGTTGGAGGCTAGCAAATCGTAGGGATTATTATTTTGTACGTATACATACAGTTTATTATGGACAGGTAATTGCAAGATTTTCTACCTCGAAGGAGACCTTTGTGTGTCGACGAGCAGCCGACAAAAGTGTATTCACCTGATAGGACCACTCGCTATGCTACTAGCCTACGGATAGTCACCCGGAGCCGCAATCCTGAGGGGGTGGATTTGCAAAGAAGGAGAAAAATCGATCGATTTTTTTCCCATTCGATGAATTCAATAGCTGCAGCAGTCTATAAGCACCAACCATCACCCTCGCAGAAGCAGCAGCAGTACCCACTGACACGTACAAGTTCACCACTACTGACTGGCGCTGTTGGGGATTGAACGAGTGGCATGTAGCTGGGAGTAAGTAAAGGGGTTATTGAAATGCTGAGAGGAGTTCGTGGGAATTTTCCTCTGCCACCGATTGCTCGGCTGGAAAGGCTGGGGAGGGAATCCCACTGAGGCGTCAATGGGAGTCCCTAGTGGGTTACAAGGGCGCTTTGGAAATCGGAAACCAGTTCGGTACGGTGTGGAAGCTCTTGAGAGTGATCCATCAAATTAAAAGTTGGTGTAACTTTTCGAGAGCGAGGATTTCGCTCGGAAAAAGCTCGGGCCTCAATTTTCTGGATTACCAAATGTATGCAAATGGTACTCAGATGAAAGAAGTTCAGGTTTGTTTTATTTGATTGCCTAAAAGCAAACTAGCGTGTATGTAGTACGGCAGTTGTGATGATCTTTCTGATGGATTAATATATCTACGAGGTGTATATAAATGATTCTAAAAAGACTGGCCGGACTGAGAATTATAATATGTTAAGGCTATCGATGATACTTTTTTTTACGATAATTATTATACAGCTTTTCCCCGAAGAACGGGTAACGACCCACCGCTGTTGCTCGACGGGTTTTCAACCAATCGCTCTGATTTTCTGCGAGTACCTAATTCTCCATTGACATTACTGACATGCAAAAAATCAGACCTACTAGTTGATAACCCGCCGAGAAAAAGAGATGGGTAGAACGCAGAGGGTAACGCTTTCTTTGAGGGATAGCTGTAACTATATCATGCCTCGTAACGGTAGATTATCTTTTCATCTTAGTCCAAGGTGAGGTCTTAGTGACAAGACTCGGCGTTGTCCACCAAGGATGATCTTGAAACAAGGAAAACATGAGTTAGTTAGTCTTCATCTATGTGATTCCTAATAATTCATTGTTCTCTATTTTGAAGTGGTTAAGACTAGGGTTCTGAGGCATGGTCATTATCGGTGTCATTGCTTAATTTTGTTGCTAAGGAATCCAATTTTGACTGACAAATGGGGTGCACCTTTGGAGGGTGCTCTCACTCTTCGAAGGGTATAAATAGCAAGACCTTTCAATTAGAATCGATTCCTTGCTAATGCAATCGCAAGGCAAGAATGACAACTGTATCAAATCCGAATACTTCATCATTTCTCAATGGTGGTGGAGTAATACGACATGTACTAAACTAAGGACACGGGATATACTACAATAGATCTAATTACTGGTCGCAGTGGTTTTATGTCCCGAACAAAAGGAAAAAAATCCTTAGATTCCTCCTGAAAATTTGTCTGAACCCTCTTTGAATTTTTGACCGAATTAACTTGAGGTTTTATTGGAATTATACTCACATTTAATTGTAATCCTCCTTAACATACCCCTATGAATTCTCCGAAAACTCCCATGGAAATATGTTCCGGATTCATTTCTTCCAGAATCTTTTTGAAATCATGTCGTTAGGTTTCTCTTTTGAATTACTTTTGAGTTCTCTTCAGAAAACAAATTAACGTCAAAAGTTGTTAGATCTTTTGAATCCTGTTGAGGGTTGCATTGGAATTCTACTAAGATCTATCTTTTTGTGAGCGTCCTCAAATGATGATCGATGTTATGAATTACTATTTTATTGATCTAAAATATTTTCTAAATTTTTCCATCAAATTGTAGTTTCCTGGATAAGGGTTCTGCTAAGGGCTGGCAAATGTCAATTTCAATGAAAGATCTCACACGATTTTTACAGAGACACTTCTGTCACCAGCATCGAATGAGGAAACGATAATAGAGATTTTCTTCAAAATCTCATCGACATCATGACAGAACGTGACAGTGTTATGAACATTGCAACTACTAGCTCAGTTATTGATATTATTGTTACTTGTACCACGGAAATCTTAAAAATATATTCACTCTACCGATTACATACTGTTGTTTTCCTAAATTCACCTAAATCAGTTTGAAACTTTGATTGCAAAACCGTATGAAAATTATTCTCACGAGTGCTCGATCATTGGAAAATGACAAGAAAGTTCAAGATAGGTAGTTTCGTCTCGTGATAGTGAGAGGACCTGTTTTCTCATGGTCAAATGACGGCCGTGATAGTTACCAGCTCTGGTTCTGCTACCACTTTCATTTCAAATCTTGGCCGACCCAATTTTAAGAAAATCAGTCATAATTTAACAGTGTGAGTTTTGGAAAATGTTGTAATTTAAGGTAAAGGTTTAGTTTACAAAATATTAGAAACACATTTACCAAAATACCTACGAAATAAGTTTCATTCAATACCTTTCAAATGACATTTAAAGTTTTAAAACTGGACGTAAAATGGTAGAGATATATACAAAAACATTTGCATGGTTTTTTGTGACCCCTAACTTTTGATCAGGAGTGTATCTTTAGAATCTGTTCAAAGTTGCATTGGAAAAGATCTGTTCAAAATTGCATTGGAAAAATCATAAATTCTCAAAGTAGTTCTTCTTAGTAACTGTATCCTGAAAATCTAGTCTAGTTCTAGTTACTTGACATTTTTTAGAGAGAGGAAGAAGTACTCGAAGTTCAAGGATTAACCTCGTTTTTTTTTTGGTGACATCTAATTTGACATTTTCCGAATTTCCCGATTTCCCGGGTAACTGGTCCTCTGTTTATTGTATTTTGCAGTTGAAACTGGACTCCTCAAAGGTGCGGAATCGCAAATAAATGTGTGCTTTGCCGATGTATCGTCTAGGTTTCTTCTGCGTACTTTTCCGTTCGTTAGTTTAACGGACTTCCAACTAGGAACAAGATATACTGTAGCACTGTAGCAAATTTTATTTATTTTTTGAATGAATTTTTCATTGCAATTCAAGGAGAAATGTTGAAAAAAGTGACTTTAGTAACTTTTTGTCGAAAATAGGGACTTTTTAGTGACCACCTTCAAAAAAAAGTGACCCGCTATCAGCCCTGTCATTTGGCGTGGAACTGCTCATCTTCTTATTCTTTTTTCATTTATCTTATTTTAGACACTTTTTTAGACATTTTTGTCAATAGAATCTTCTTTTAGAAGCTTATCCTAGACGCTTGCCCGTCGCTCCGCTCCTTTGACTAAAAAAACATGAACAGGATAGTAAATCAGTTAAGAAATGTTTCCAAGGATTATGGAGCATTTCATCGTTTTAATGTTACAAAATCCGTTTCTCATTTTGAGTTTGACCTTAATATTATTACTCGCTTGGATCATGTTTGAAAGTTTTATGAGGGTCCTTATGTGAAGACGTGTTTTCAAAAGGATTATTACAAGGATTATGGAGCATTTCATCGTTTTAATGTTACAAAACCCGTTTCTTATTTTGTGTTTAACCTTAAGGTGTTTCCTTGTAAAGTCCATTTTTCCATCACACCTCGCAATTTCAAGAGCACACAGCTCAAGATCTACGAGGTTTATACATCTGCAAATTTCAGACATTGCTTGCTTCTCTGCAGCAAACAACAAGTAGTACTTTCAGCTACAAGCATTCACAGAAACCTTATTA